GATCAGTATTTCTCAACAGGGGTGATATCGCCCCCATGTGGGCATTTTTCCATGTTGAGGGTGCGATTTGTAACAATTTATATTTTGGGGGCAAAAAACAATTTTCTGGGTGATATAGTAAAACATTATATTAAGAATAATTTGATTTTGATATTTTATTCGTTATATCGTACAATAATTAAACAAACAACATTATACTAGTCACTAGTCTGTTCAATGCAGTACGAATTTGGCGTTAGCCTTGGCCCTCAACATCAGAATTTTGAAGTGAAGGGGACGATACTACGTAACGGTTTCATTGAAGGGGGCGATACTATGTTGAAGGGGGTGACGATTCGTTAGAGGTTGAGAAACACTGCATTAGATGAATAGCCATATTACTTTTAACATTCAAAGTGGGAAAAGATAATATATGGATATATTATTATTTGTATACTACAAACTAATCAACAACTAAGTTAGATTATCTACAATATATTAGTATATATCCATGTTCATGAAAAATGTACACAATGTTTCTCACAATGTATTGGCCAAACAAAAATTTTGAAAAGAAAATCCAATTGCTTTGTAATTTATTGAAACTAATTCTTTTGGTATGTATGTTGTACAATACTACTGTATGTAATTTTCAGCATTGTAATATGATTACAAAGAAAAGTCAAAACTGAGATGGTGCTATATTTTCAATAGAAGAATCAAAGTTTAGATCTCTATCAGTGTAAAAAATGGTTATTGATTCATCTAACCAAAAATTTGCACAAAATACAGCACTTCATTCAGCAGATAAACTGTGCACAGAAAATACTGTCTTTCTACAAAGAAGTGGAGTTTGACTGTGATGTAAGCAAAAGCACTGAAATTTTGCTTCTACTTCAAAACACCTATGAAAACTTATGAATGGTGAGACAGAGTATAGTGAGCCTATTCTATGACTTGCAGCATATTTTATGGTTTATGACATTATCGAAAGGCATTCTCTAAATAAATCTTAAATAAAATACACCAATACGTAGGGGGACCCAAAAAAACGGATTTTTGTATAAAAACTTTATTAACTTTTTTACAAAATTTCTTTAGTCACTCTCCATTAGATGCAATGCACTTGTGAAGTCTTTTTCCCCACTGTTTGAAGCATCTCTGGAACTCTTCAACCTTGATATTGTCCAGTGCCTTTAGGGAAGCTGTTTTTACCACCTCCATATCATCAAAACACTTCCCTTTTAGATTTTTCTTCATTCTCAGAAACAGAAAAAAGTCGCACAGGGCTAGGTCTGGTGAATACAGAGGGTGGGGAATGACAGGCCATCCCCAAGAGGCCAAATAGTGGGTCGCTCGTAAGGCCGTGTACACGGGGGCATTGTTGTAATGAAGGAACCAGTCACCTGCTCGCCAAAGTTCCAGGCGTTTCCTTCACATATCCTCTCGCAGATGTCTTAATACTTTCTTGGTGGATTTTTTCAACGTTTTCAATGTTTTCATCATTTCAAGATGTTGAAGGATGCCCAGAACTTCGCAGGCGGAACAAAATAACAGTAAGAGAAACACAACACTATGCTCAAGCTTAAACCTACAAACTAACACTGTTTGCACAGCTGTTTCATGAAGGTCTCTACTAACCCCATGTAATGGAAAACTCTCTACTATGTCTACAAATGACAGTGCACTTTCAGTTCAGTTTTTTTTTTTTTTGGATCCCCCTCGTAGACATCTGTGAAGAACTGAAGAACTCATTAACATTGCTTTGTTATTTATTGTTCAAGAAGAGTTATGAGTTACTATCAATGAACTTGCCAATATAATGAATGTCTTCCAAGAGAGTGTCCATACAATTCTGCATAACCATTTGCATGCGAAATGCATTTGCTCTCTATGGATTCTCCAGCTTTTGACACCTGAACAGAAGCACATTCAGATGGAATTCTGCCAAAAGTTACAATGTCTGATGACTGATATGGACAATACATTTCTGCAATCACTATAATCTGAAGTCAATTTTCATCACTGGTGAAGAAACTTGGCAACATTATTTTGATCCTGAAAGCAAACACCAGCACAGTATGGAAATTACCTTCATCTACTTCAAAGAAGGCAAGAGTTGCTCCACAAGCTAGCAAGATAATCATTACCACCTTCATTGAATGCCAAGGAATAGTTTAACATTATATTGTGCTATCATATACAACAGTCATTACACAGTAACCTGATCACATATAATCACATCCATAGGAAATGTCACAATCTCCATGCCAATGGTTGATAATACACTATGACAATCTACCTGTACTGTACACATCCTCAATTTTCTAATATGATGACCAAGTTTTGACATGAACAATGTCTATGGATCACTTAGCAGATAGAGCATAATGCTTTAACTCTACAGAAAGTAGTTGTGTAAAGATAATTTAGGTGTCATTGGAAAGAGAATCAAAATTTTAATAATAATGTTTTTTCATTTTTCAAAAAACATGAATAGTTTTATAAATGTTGCAATTAAAGTTTATGTACTGTCCATAACATACTATACAATGTGGATGAGTCATCATGCAGTTATGAAAGAATGGCATGACATTGGGGTCACCAATTTTGAACAAACTCAGTGAGGTTATTTTGCACCCTCAATGACTAACATATGCCAAGCAGTAAGATACCCTACTTAAAATTAAATAAGAAAATTAAAGTTGAAAATTGCACAATCACTTAAAACCTTTAGCATTTCTATCATTTATAGAATGGCTGGTGGCTTGTTAATTTCATGACCAGGAGGTTGGTGTTTCAAATCTCATTAGATTAGCATCAATATGGTTTTTTTTTAAAACTGTAATCCTTTTACTATGATATGGTCAGTTGTCCTTTGAAAATGATCCAAACTGTTACCCTTCAAAATGATCCAAACTGCAGTCACTCAAGGTCACTCTACCTATTTTATTTTAAAAAATTCCCCAAAAATCAAATTTTTATCATAGAGATAAGGTAATAAATATATGTGATTTTTTTTATGTAGTTTTCATCACAATAGTGTATAATCATTCAGAGTAAAAATGACTTTAAAAAATGTTAAATTATGATCTAAATTTTTGATGTTATAAATGACTTTACTTTGATAAAAACTAAACTTCTTCAATTTTGTTATTTGTTTTTGGCATCAAGCCAGCACAAAAGAGAATATTGTTTTGAACATGATATAAGATTTATGCATATTTATCTATATTTTTTTTGTGAACAATATCACTTTATTTAAACAGTCCACATATACTAGTTTTCTGTCTTTCTTCAATAAACTCTCTTAGGTTAGTAGGACATTTCATTTTAGACAGTAATCAACTTTAGAAAGCAAGCGAAAAATACCAAAACTATAAAACAATAAAACACACTACAAAAAGAAAATAAGTAAATCAAATAAAACTACTAAAACAAAAAATAAAAAAAATAATATACAGTGTATATATATATATTTAGCTTATAGGCAATAAGCAGTAAATACCAAAATTGTAAAACAATAAAATGAATACAGAAAAAAAAAATTGACTAATGCATGTGTTTCCTTTGTTTGAAAAAAAAAATAAAATTAACACAAAAAATTAGATATATATAACTTTACAGGCAGTGACTAGCAATAAAATTAAAATGTAGAGAATTTTTTATTAAAATTTAAAATTAAACATTTTTCAAAATGGCAAAATATTGTCATTTCGTGTGTTTCAGCTGAAACTAAACAGACAAAATATTGTTACATCGTCATAAAAGAGATAATTTTCATTCGTTCCTTGTATTTGTAATTTATTATATTTATTTAAAAATTATTTTTGAATATTCATGTATATATGGGATTTGTACATAATATTTATTTACAATTTATTTGGGAAGATAAGATATAAACTTATCTTTATCCAAGACCAATTTTGGTAATAAAAATGTCTTTTTTATTAACATTATTCAATCTGTTTGCTCTTTGGAAACATAATTTTGTGAATGATAATTATCATAGAAGCATGTGAAACAACAAACATTTCTGCAGTGTGTGCATTAAAAAAAATGCAGAATTTTTACAATAAGACAACAATGACTTGTATATGTCATGGGAAAAACAAACTTTATTAACATTAAAAAAACGCTTCTCTCTCCAACTAATTTAGAGGAGAATCATGTGTATTGTATCACATTTGAAAATATTGGAGCACTTAGTGTTTTCTCTTATCACCTTTGCAACTTCTGAAATTGATGAACAACACTTGGCTGCAATTAGATCTTTAAAAGCACCCTTTATACATAATTTTGCAATATTGTCATACAGTGATTCTTCTGCAGAACAAATTTCTATGCTGTTGATGTTAGTGTGAGATATTGAAGCCATCTTTTCCATTCTTCAGCAAACAAAGATGCAATTATAGACATATTTAGGTTAAATAATGACTTTATTGCCAGAATAAGTACATACTGTTCATGAATATACAGAAAATGTTTTGTTTTTAAATAAATATTGTTAGGTAGCATTTGTTAATTGATTTTGATGTTGATTTGTTACATGAAATGAGTGATTTATTGTTTTACTAACCTGTTTATTATTATAAAGTTCCTCTCTCTGACAATATAATAAATACAAAAATACCAAGAATGAAGTAAAAATTGTAGTTTTAGAAAACAAAAAATTTAGTGATTCTGCAATTTTCAATTTTAATTTGTGTATTTAATTTTGAGTAGTGTGCCTTACTACTTGGCACCTGTATTTTTGAGTAGAAAATATGAAAATACATTCTTAGTTATTATAAGTAGCAAACATATCATGAGAAAATTTTCTTGCATATGCTGTATATATCAACATATAAAAACAACTAATAGATTACTTATGCTATAGAAGCAAATAATAATAATAATAATCATAAAATCCAGCAGTTTGGTTAATATTTGACTTAAAGCATAATTGTGCTTGTACTTTTAAATATTAAATTATTTAATATAAAAAATATTTGTAACTTATTCAAGAAGAAATGACTTACTCTAAAATCATAATCCATAATAAAACTTGGTATCTCAAGCTGATTAGGTGGAATTAGATAATACAAATATTCTACACCACCTAAGGACTGGACTTTATTTTTGATACTGGAAGCAGTAAATGTAGTAAACCACCATGTTAATATCTACAGAATAAAAATAAATTTTATTATGAGTAAAAAAGTTTGGCATTCAATTGTTTGAAAATTTTTGATGTAATCAAAATCACAATTTAAAATAAAAACTGTTAAACTATCATAGAATGTAAAAATAATTAATGTTAACATTTAATCAATTCTATATACTGTATGTACTTAATTACCCTACATTACCATTTTTGCATCAGTAGAAAATGAAAATAGTAATAAGTTGTTTTGAAATTAAAATGAATATCAATAACTATGCAATACTTGAAACTGGATTTAAATACAAATAACAACATGATACCAGTAATATCCAGCAAATAATATACTTTATTAAATAACAACAAAAAACAAAAATTGTCAAAAATGTTTGTTTTTTTATTATTTATTTGTGTTTATTATTTGCTGGATATTACAGGTATCATTTTGTTATTTGTATGTAAAATGAATAGGTACATTTATTTCCATTTTAATATCATTTGCTTTGAGATTTAATTTTTATGAATAAATTCATAAATAAAAATTATGATTTAAATTGTATCCTCTATCTTTCATTTACGAAATTTAAGTAACAAATAGTTTCAAATAACTTCAATTTTAAACAGCAAATGTTTAATTCTTTACTTTGTCTTAACTAAAAGTGCCCGAGGTTAAAACATACAAGTTAACCAAAAAAGAGATGAAAGCATGAATTTTTATCTAACGAAGATTTCAAATCATTTTACTTTGTTTTTGTCATATGGACTCAACTGTGGGCAATCACCGAGTGAACGTCTAAAATTATCGTCCGAATTCGACTGTGGTTTTTCGGTCACCGTTCGATTAATCTTGGTTTATTTGATATCGTTCGATTCAGGAAAACACTAGCTACCTGTGAGTACCATTAATTTTAAAACTTGGCTTCAATTTTTGGTGTTATTTCCGTCCGATCATTTTGGCCTTTGCCGTCCCCCACTGGGGCCCCCTTATGATCTTCACTGGATTTAAAGACTGTTTAGTGAAGCACAGCCTTTCTGTATCATAACCCGTAAGTTTCATTTATATCTGTCTAGTATTAACTGGAAATTACGGCAGGATAGGTTATCCGGTAGANAATTTGTGATCTTACTTTTGACAAAGCCTAACACTTCTACATTTAAAATTTTGAAGCTCAAGAGTTACATTATAGTTTTAAATAAATTATAGTGTAAAAAAGTTATTTTCAAATGCTTTGGATCCAAGATAAATTTTTTTTTAATGTGTTTGGTTTTAAGGAGGAATGAGAGCTGTTATAAGCTTGAATGGATTAATGACATATTTTTTTAATGTATAATGTGACTTGTCATTGCTGAAGATGTTCTCCACATTATACCAAAAAGTATTTTAGCTGTGCATAGTTGATAATTGTTGAAAAATGAATAGTCTATTTTCTAAGAATTTTTCACTCTTCATAAACTCAAAAGCAAAGTGAATGTTATCATACCACCAATAAACTTAAGATATATGAATTACAACTGGTATCCTAAAGATCACACTTGAACGAAGTGATCACTGTAATTAATTGCTATTATTAATTAATTAATGATTAATTATTAAGAAATTAGGTACTAGAGGTAAGCACTAGGTGCTATCTCGTATTAAATTTAATAATCAAAATATTTACTAATTAATTTAATATATTCTGGAAGAAAATAATTGATCCCACTAATTTAGAATATTGTAAATTAATTAGTAAACATTATTAAATTTAATACATGTGATCTTGTGATTAAACAAGTGTGATCTAATATATAAACATCACTAAGCCCAATGAATTAATAATAAGCATTAGGTGCTATGTAACACTTACCTCTAGTACCGAATTACTTAATAGTTAATCATTAATAATAGCACTTAATTAGCCACATTAATTACAGTAATCATTTGGTTTATTATTAATTCATTAATCTTAGTGATGTTTATACAAGATCACACTTGTTTTCATATTCCATACCTTACATTTTTAAACTATTCAATGCTACTCCAATCTTTCAATTAAAACCTGAATTTGATCATTGTCAAAATTTTAATGCTTATGGTTCACTGTTTTCCAAAACTATCCTGATAAAACCTTGCAAATGATTTAACAAGTTTGAAGTGATATCAAGAAGCTTCATTTTTGGTTGATTGGAGTTGAAGTTTGTGGCACAAGGACCTAGGCAGGCAAAGAATGCCAGGTCTTTTAGGTCTTAATATGTATGTTCTAGAATTCTGTATATAAGTTTATTGCCTTCAGATATGCCATTATAGGTTGAATTTGTCTGTTGTAATCTAGTATATTCCATAAAGCTTAGTCATCTGAAGATATATGTTGTTGAAGGTATCATTCTCTGGCTGTTTTATACTGAGGGCACTTTATTAATACATGTCAGATAGTAAGTAGGGTTTGGCATGTTGAGCACATCAGTTGGGTATCCTTTGTTAATAGGTAGTTGTGTGTTAATCTTGTATATCCAGTTCTCAGACAGGCAAGTACTATTTCTTCTTTCCGGTTTTCCTGGTGGCTGGTTGTCTATTTTATTAACTCTGGTTAGTGTATAGTTTATTGTTGAGTTGTTTGTTCCAGTCCTCTTGCCATTTTGCCATTTGTTGTATTGTACTGTTAATACAGCTGTATAAGTCTTTATAGTATGGTCTGAAAGTTCGTGCTTGGTTTCTGTTGTCTTGTTTTGCAAGTTTGTCTGTGGTTTCATTTCCTGAAGTCCAGTATGTCCAGTCAGTCAGTATAAGGCTATTGTATTTTCTGCATGTTGGAGTAAGCTTCATTTTTACATAAATTCTTATATATATATATATATAATGGGTATTATTACATGTATATACAGGGTGTTTCAAAACTCATGGACAAAAATTTAAGGGTTGATAGAAAACATCTAATTTTCACCATACAATGCATAGGCAGAGAGCAAGTGGTAGCTAGGAGGTATCCAAAGAGCAACTGCCTAAAGCAGAAAGCCTTATGATACCTTCCAGTAACTGAGGAGTAAATTAGTTCAGCATTAGTTTTATCTAATGGCAAAAATAAAAGATGAAGACATTTTCATTTCACAACCAGTGCTACTACAGAATATATAACACACAAAATTGGAATTATTAGTGTCTAACTTGATTTTAGCACGTATCTTACAAATGATACATCTCTCTATCCATAAACAAATACCATATTCAAACTTCTCAGCAATAGAACCAAAACAGGAAGACTACTGGAAATGTGTGTATAATGAAATCTGCTTATCAGAAAAAAATTAATGTCACATCTTGTACATGCTCTGATAACCCATAATTATAAAGACTTTATTGCAGCTATGGAATATTGCATTGACTATTTGTAAGAGTGAAAATATGCTTTCCTTTATATAATTTCTTATATTAATTAATCTTAATCTTAAAATGTCTAATTAACAAACTATTAATAATTTATCCCCTGAAATTCACTAATTAGGACTTTCCTTAAAAAATCCATTGTTCTTAAATTAATATTTCTTAAATAAAATGTTGTTTTGTTCTTAACAATAATTGCCCATCTTCACTCATTACATAACAATCGATATAGATAATTTGTATGAGTTATATATACCATTTAAATTAAAAGATTAAATGTAACATAATGTAATATTTAAATATTATAATTGAATATGAATTTTAATTTAAACAACATTTATTTAAATGTAATTATCATAATTAATAATAAATAATTTATTCACTATTTCTTTAATTTTATACTGAAGTTAATGCAATATTTAATTAACTTATAATTCTATAATCCCATTATAAACTATTATAATAAAATTTTATAATTTAACTCACTCATCCAACCTTTTTCTCATATCCAAATAATCATAATTTTGTTCATAATTACTTTCCATAAACATATTTCTCATTTTTGATATTGTCTTAATAGTTTTCAATATTTTTAAACATAGTGTAATTTTTTATTATATCATCATCCATACAATCAGAATATTCACCCATTTCAAACTGCCGTTCTTCTTCCAATAAATATTGTTTTATAAAGTAGTTTCTAAACTGCCAGAAAGCATTTCAGCATTTTTTATTTATTACTTCATTTTGTTTCTATCAAGTTTATCTTAACCATATCCAAGTTTAATAAAGATTTATTTTTTCAGTCTAATATTACACTTATCTCTTTTTATACTGCTTACATACCTTTTTGTTGTTCGCTTTTTTCTTTTCCTTCATGATTCCTTTCTTAATTTTTAATTTCTATTTTAAAAATTTGTTCTCTTGTTTTGTAAAATTTAAGTTATATAGCACTGTATTTGCTACTGATCATAAACGATGAGAAGTAGCAAACACAGAGGAGAGTGACAGGCACAATCATATCATCTTGCAATTTTTTTAAATTTCAAACAAAAGTTTTATTATTTTTATCATCATTACATTTCAATTTAATTACATTTTTAAATTATAACTTTATATACTTTAAGTGAATATTAATTAAAGAAATATATATCTTTTATATTACACCAATTTATTATATATATATAATTTATTATATATATATATAATTCATTATATAACTCTTCATTACACCAATTTATATATATAACATCCCTGCAGTTTACTCCTAAATTTACCAGTGTCTGAATGACTTACAGAACTGCAATGTACTAACAATGCCAATTTCATCAATCTTTATTATATGCAATTTTCTCTTTAGAAAATTCCATATCAAAAAACATTCGTTAACTCAATTTAACAAGTTATTTTGTAAACAGTTCACTATTGTTGTATCTGATGCAAATGACCTATTAAAAATTTTGTTGTAGCTCCTTGATGTCAAACATTAAAACATATTTGGTTGATTCGTTGAACAAACACAATACAGCGGAACCAAAATCAAATTGTGTAAGTGCTTCAAATTATAAAAAATATAGAGAAATGTGTTTTAATCAATTTTATTAAAAACTAGAGTATAAGTAAAAATATGTAAATTAGTCATATTACAATTATATTAAATAATATGGAAAAATTTAACTTGATTTTAACTTGCTCTCTTATGTTATTAAAACAACAGTGAAGCAATCACCATTCAAGTTCAAAATTCTGTGTAAACAGTAAATATTTTCAACACACTCAATATACAACAGTTTTATATTAAACTTACCATAATCTGCTATCTTGATTTTAATTCAATGAGCTGAAACTTTAATGCTTAAAATTAGACTTTTAAAATAATGAAATGCTGACAAAACCTTAAAGTCTAACAAACTTTGATAAAATACTTTCAGCTGTTAGGCAAGTTTAAGACATTATTAAATTTTAAAGAAGGTTGATGAAACAGGCTAAAATTTAATGTTTTTACATAAAGAAGATTCTATATTACAATATATTCATAATGAGTGTTATAAATATGTATTGTAGAGTAGCCTTCTACTTTTATTCTTCACTATGTATGCATATAGTAAAGTTTATTTTTACTTAAAAAAATAAAACTTCTATATTTATTATTTACTTCTAATGTGTCAGTATTTGTTTAAATTCATTAAGCAACCAAATTTATTCATACAAAAGAAAATTTGGATAAAATATTTCTCTCTTGAAATGCAAATGAAGACGAATACTTCAGAAATATTTGGTGAATGGTTTTGGAAAGTTGTCTATCTATGGTTTATTAAATAATAACAATATGCCTTTATAATTAAAAAAAACTATATTAAAAGATAAAAGTTATATTAAAAATGTTTTAATTTTTATCAATTCAGATTCATTTTAGCTTTTCCTTCATATTAAAAAATTTGATCATTTCTAAAGCAAAATACAATTATTCAATAATATGTATTAAGAATTTCTGTAAAAAAATAATAAACTCTGAGCATTATAGAAAATCATTGTCATCAATGCTCATACAGAATTAGAATTTCATTTAAATAAATTTTTGAATTATCTTAACATTTAAATAATATTTAAAAACAGTAATATTTACCCTACTCCAAAATGTTGGATGAACTATGTACAGAGCTCTAAGGTTTTTTTTATATTTGTAGTCAAGACAACCATAAACTTCTCTAATAAAACTAAGTGAAGGATGGTGTTCTCTCCCAGTATGTGAATGGAAGTAAACAACAACATAATCTTGCTGCACTATTGGATCCAATGTATGTATCAGATATAACACTGCCTAGAAATAAGAAATTTTATATTTATGTTCAAAATATTTTCAATTAAAAATGAACTTTTTCTATATTTTCTCAAGTAAATAATTTTAATATATTTGCAGTAAACAGAAAATAGCTTTAAAGATAAAAACATTCACTATTCACTAAAAATTAATGAGGATAAAAAACACCTCTCTCAATTTATTATGGAATTAATTATTAATGTTAAATTTTTAGTATACAATAAAGAATTTTTAGTTCGGTAAGATCATCATCATAATTACATTGCAATAAAATAAGAATCAATACAGTTAACAAAACAAAATATTCTATAATATAATCAGTTGCAAATTACTAAATTTTATGCCTAAAAATTATAATGGCTGAATGTTGATCACAATTTTTACATATGAATATCACAATAAATGTCAATTTTTCACCTTCAAGCAGAAAATCCAAGTGTATGCAAATTTATACTGAAAGACAGCATATGACAAGCATATAAAACTATAATAATTTTGCTTTATTATAATACAGGTAGAAAATGTGCAGCCAATTTGAGTTACAACATCTGGTATGAAGACATCAGTCCCTTCAATGACAGCTTATATGTTTTTTGAAATCCATTTAAAATGAAAAATATCACACAATTGAAATTAAATAGTCTTATTTCGTAAATAATGAAAGTTTGTGATTGAATAAATGTGTATGTCAGGATGGTAAACCTATCTATATCAGCTTTATCTGTTTTGTAATGTTCTAAATGTAAGAAACTAAGACAAAAATACAGTCTAGTTTTTGAGTGACTGTTTTTCTTCAAGAGAATTGTATATTTAATTAAATATTATTTCCATTTAGTCAATTATTAATTATATTTTTTGTTAATTACATTCATTAATAGTTACAAAGTGTGAAGTAAAATAATTTACTTGTTTTAATTATTTAATTATCTGAAGGAAATATCATGATGTAACTAACCCCTTTAAAATAAGGATAATTCCATAAAGTGTTAATATTTTTAAAAATTCAAATTTTTTATTAAGTTTTAAGCAAAAATTTCGCCATAATAATGTAAGAAGTTTTCAACTTCCAATTCAAATGCATTATTCCATAAAGTGTTAATATTTTTAAAAATTCAAATTTTTTATTAAGTTTTAAGCAAAAATTTCGCCATAATAATGTAAGAAGTTTTCAACTTCCAATTCAAATGCATTATTCCATAAAGTGTTAATATTTTTAAAAATTCAAATTTTTTATTAAGTTTTAAGCAAAAATTTCGCCATAATAATGTAAGAAGTTTTCAACTTCCAATTCAAATGCATTATTCCATAAAGTGTTAATATTTTTAAAAATTCAAATTTTTTATTAAGTTTTAAGCAAAAATTTCGCCATAATAATGTAAGAAGTTTTCAACTTCCAATTCAAATGCATTATTCCATAAAGTGTTAATATTTTTAAAAATTCAAATTTTTTATTAAGTTTTAAGCAAAAATTTCGCCATAATAATGTAAGAAGTTTTCAACTTCCAATTCAAATGCATTATTCCATAAAGTGTTAATATTTTTAAAAATTCAAATTTTTTATTAAGTTTTAAGCAAAAATTTCGCCATAATAATGTAAGAAGTTTTCAACTTCCAATTCAAATGCNATTTAAAATAATTTTAATAAAATAAAATAACTGAAACAATCATTAAAATTAAATTCAAAAAAATTAGAAAAAATTAACTTTTTGTCAAATTTTAATTTGATATCATTTAGGGAAGATATACAGATGTCTCATCTCCTATGCTACTAATATATCTTAACTTTAAATCTAATATATAAAAATTTCTAAATAAAACTATGAATTTTTGTAATCTAACTTAACATAAAACAGTTTCAATTATAATGTTGATTATTGGTACTGTTTTTCGGCCATTCTGAAAGAAACAAAGTTTTCCTGTCATTATTTGAATCTTAGTTAAATATTCTTAATTGGAAATGTATTAAATATCTTATTAAATAATTTACAAAGCCAATTTATAATGTTATTTAACATTTTATATTTATCTTGTTCTTCAAAGTATTAAAAAAAATTTATCACATGAATATTAAATATATTAGCGAGGTTGCAGCCAAAGTTTTCATTTCTAAAATGTCAAGTGCTGTAAGTGGCACTCGGCATTCATATTTTAGGGATGAAAACTTTGGCCTCAACCTCGCTATTATTGTGTGTATTTGTTGAATGAAATTGACTTGCATGAGTGTTAGCGTAATCTAATGATAATTTTAACAAATATTAAAATATAGCATATTTTCATTTATTGATTAAAGTTGTGAGTTAATAATTTAAAAAAAATAAAATTCACATTTGAACAATATGTAAGGCTAGGACAACTTAGCATTAAAAATCATATAAATAAAATGATTTTTAGTGCCTAGATGTCTTACAATTAGTAATATGTTAATTGATTATAAATACTTGGATGGAATTTTTTAAATTATATATTTTATCCACAATTATAATTACAGTTGATAGATATTTATTTAATTTAATAATTATTTTGAATTTTGTAATGCATCTTTAATTAAGTTTGTTAGCCATAATTTTGTATGGAAAATGATAGACATTTTTGTCTATCATTTTCCATTGTTTCAAGAGTCTTCATTATTTCCAGAAGTATGTGAGAAGTTAATTCTTCAAAATAGAAATTTGGCAAAACGTCTGATTGAAATACAAATAGTTACTATGCTAATTATAATGAAAACAGATTTTATCTGCTTTAGAATAACCACTCAATATAAAAAAATTTTCCAATTCCCAGTTTATGTTAAACCCCAGTACAAGAACCTGTATGATTTTATAAATCATTTAATTACAAAATAAACAATATTAAAAAGCTAATTTTGAATTTCATTTCTGTAAAAACTGAATGAAAAGCTACAGTAGTAGATATTAATAGTAGTAATATTAATATTACACTAAATCTTCAATTTAACACATTTCAATTTGATGGACTTTCAAATTTAATGAACAAAAGTCTATAGTTCCTAAGTCAACATTTCATTATTTTCAGTAATTAAAATAATTAAAATCTGTTTATTTACTCATTCTTGTAGTTAATTCATTTTTACTTGTTACATAATCATGCAATGGAAAATTACAATAAATTAGCTCTCTGAGAACAGAACTCCTTTATAACATGAAACTCTTGTTTGATATTTAAATGTTAGCTGTATTGTTTCCAAAAAATACATACATCTGCCTGTATTGTTTTTTGAAAGGGTGCTAACTGTATGTAAAAAATTATATATATTGTATATAGTACTATAAATATCAGACATCCCCGCTTCCAATAGGTCATAAAATTAAAGATTTGCTGTTTTATAACCCAACTATGGTCATATATAAAAAAATTGTAAACAAATACAAAATTAATAATGGAAACAATATCTAAGTTACTACTAGAGTAGCCCTCTGGTACTGTACTGTACATCTGTGGTAAAGATATTAAAAAAACTCAAACATACAAAATAATTTAAAAAAGTAAATAATAATCATCATAATTAAACTTATAACAGATAAATAATTTATTAGTTAGATTCATAAAATAATAAATATTAGTTAAATAAAATAAGTTATACTACTTTATACAAGTTTTAATTTCTTCAATCATTCATCATTATAACAGTAAGTTTTGTTTTTCTAAAGCAAGCATTAAAAACAAAACATTATTTTTTATTATGGTAGCTTTACTCAGATCCTATTTAAACACATTTATTTATTTTTGCTTTTAATAAATGAAATAATTAAATACATCAGAATTTTGTTCACATCAGTGGAAAAACTTAGTGACTCCAACTCAATTGTGACTGGATAATTTCAGAAGACATTAATTTGAAAATCACTTAAGTAGAGAAATAGGATAAAATTTTTAATGTCTATATAGTGAATAATGATTTTAAAAAACTAAAACTCAAATGAGAACATTACTTTTTAAATAAAATAAAAAGCAGTATGCAAGCATGCCTCTACTTATTGTCTACTCTAACACCAACCAATAGAAATTTTCACAACTAATACAAATAGATATGTTCAGTTATCTAACAAAAAGGATTTTTCCTGGTAATTTATTGTGCATTCCAAAATCAAGTATCAGAATAACCACACAATGAGATATATCATCAAAAAATCTGTTTTTAAGCCTAGACTTACTATAGTGAATCATATTGTGAGGATCCGAATCCAGACTTTCCGTGTGTTTACATCATTTGTTCATAATGTCACATTGTAACTATAAACTTGATAAATAACTGTCAACTTTTTCACCTGGGAGCTAAACATCTGTTGAGTTCTCAGGCCTGATGGTGATGCTTTCTCATCACATCTTGACCTAATATCTCAATTTCAACAGTTCAACATTAGAACAGAACAACAAAGTGACGCAGTTGTCGCCCATCTTTCGAAAGAGTCAAGTTGTCACCCGTACCTTGTCCTAAGTGCTTCAATATTTGGATATTTGTGAATATATCATTTTATTCTACGTTTTTATATCCTACTAAAATATCATTGGAAACCATCGTACCATCGTCTAACACCTTTGTGGATACTGTACATTCCATCAGGCTTACGGATATTTCCTCTACAGCAGGGGTGGCCAACAAGTCGATCGCAAAACCAATTTTGGTCGATCGCTTGCGATGTCTTGACTTAATGTGTTACACTTGTAAGTTGTAACCGAACGCAACGCGTGAACGAAACGCACAAACGTAACTGTAGTGATATCGGACCTCCTCATTCTCCCTCAGATGCAGTTATGTCGGTCCATGTGCAATCCATTTGCGTACAGTTGTAAAAGAGAAATAAGAAATGTAGACAAAGGGTCGTAAAATCGAAAAAAAGAAGAAACAGAGAGAGTAGGTCGGGACACGGTAGAGAGAAGAAGGGTGAAGTGGTGGTCCCCAAAAGTGACAACGTTGAGTTTCAATTTTTCTTGTTTAAAATGTTAATTTAAAATTTAAAGGTACTTACCTTTTCTTCGTGTTTTAAATTAAATTGTGGCTTTTCTTTTCTATCTAAACTTAGTATGTATTTCACACCTCCCTCCCCCTCACCACTTAGACCAGGGATGGGCAACGTTTTTCTGTGTAAGGGCCGCATTTCAAAACTTTTGAACTAACGCCGACCACATACAAGATAAAAGAGGGTGGAAAATGCCAGTAAATCACAATTATTTATTCATATATAATTATAAAATAGAATAGGTATACTTAATTTAGCTTCTAGAACTGATTTAAACGTAATGTATCAAAAATATTTGATTAAATATTAGTCACTGCTAGTTTTAAATTAGTTTCGAGGTGAGTCTGTTAGCCGGTTTCTCGTTTTTACTAAATTCATTGCAGGAAAAACTATTCACACACATAAGTTGTAGAAAATAACATTTGAATTTTTGCTGCATACTTCTTAAGCTAGGAAATTGATGTATTTATACACATTTTATGCGACTCGGGCCGCGGAATGCCCATCCCTAACTTAGGTAACTACGCCTACGACGAGTCGATCGCAACACATGTTTAAGATAAAAAGTAGATCTTATGTACACAAAAGTTGGCCACTCCTGCTCTACAGAATACCCAAACTGACATCCCGAGCTTCCTCTCTTTCACAAAGAATGTTCGAGAATCTCAATCAAGATATCAAAAAAGGTATTTATGACCATGCGAAACTTCTTTAAACTCTCTCTTGGGAATCGCAAAAACATTAATATCCGATATATATATCTAATATCTATCAATCATAGAAATGTATCTAAAAGCTAGCATATTTAAAATCGAAATGTTGTATGGCCTATAAGTACCCATTAAATAGTTGTTACGTTAACTCATCTCTGAGTAAGTCACTTACTTCCAGTGCGCTGTCTCTCCCTCCATCCCGAATCCGTTCGCTCACACACGCAATCGTGCGCACGAGAACATAACGGTTTCTGTGTCTGTCCGTAAAGACACAGTGGTGTCAGTCTGATAAAACTTGTCATTATGATCTTCGCCGATGCGATGTCAACCCTTCAGTCACATGATGCCGAAGTATAGGGAGGCCCTTCGGCATTGTCACAATATTACTTCATTCAAGTAAACAAACACAAAATAATTAATAAAAAATTAATGTGCTCATGAATAATTAGTAGTCAGCTGAGCAGTAAACAGCAAGATCTGGGAAATCTTGCTGTTTATTGCTCAGTATTTTAAAGCCAACAAAAATGTCTTTTAATGGTCACTAATTTAGAAGATAAAGCTTCCCTAAATAGATGTAAGATGACACTTTTGCTGTTTGTGCTCTTTGTATATAAATAAATAAATATCTATTCTAATTCAAAATAAATCTTTATATTTAATAATTCAATCTAAATCATTTTTGTTATAAAGCAAAAAGTTGCAATCAATAATAAAATTCCAGTCTATTTTCTAGCAATCAAAATTTCCAGTAATTCCTAGTTTCAACATTTTCATGTTGGTGGGCATACTGTGCTTTCAAATTCACTGTAAAATATTTCATGTTTTTAAAGAAATATTCCAAAACAAATTGACAATGTAGAAGAACAATGGCAAATCTTTTTCTAAAAGTGGATCAAAATTGAATTCAAAATTTAGTAACTCCCAAATCACAGGTCAAATATTTATTTTAAATAGTAGTAATAAACAAAAATGCTTACAAATTTTACTTCTTTTAACTTTTTTAATCTATATCAAAAAAATTAAAACAATCTAATCTACCAAACAGCTGATTTTGTTTTATTTATGTGAACACATTTATTTTATATATATAAAAATTTAATTTAAAAAGTATTGTCTACATTATTATTCTAATTTATTAGGACATTGTAAATTATTATTTAAAAAAAAAAAATATTAAGTATTTTATATAATGTTGCTTTTTTATATTTAGTTAAAACAAAATTAAGGTATTATATTAGGAAAAAATAATAAACTTCCTAAGTGCAAAATAATTTGTTTTTCAACTATCAGTTCCCAAATAGACAAGAAAATAATTCATTTTTGTTTTATACAATTAAATTCAAATATACATAATAATCACAATCTAATTCAAATATACAGATAGAATAATTACAATAAAAATTCATATTGATAATTTTTATTGTGATTAATCTATCTATATATTTGAATTAGATTGTGATAACATAATTTGAATTTAATTGTATAAAACATAAATGAATTACTTTCTTATCTATTTGATAACTGATAGTTTATTCTAATTATTTTTTTCCTAATAAAAAATCTTAATTTTTGTTTTGTTTCAATTAAATATAAAAAAGCAACGTTACATAAAATACTTAATTTTTTTTTTAACTGTTGGCTTTCAGAACAACTTTTTATGAATAACTAATTTCCAAACAAAACATCATCATCATCATCATCTAGATAATTTTAACTATCTATAGTTATTTACCTTTTCTAAATCAACTTGGCAAGCTTTAAATCTTTGACCAATAAACACAATAACAGGTCTTCCGAATTTGTCCTCTCCACTCTGATATAAGCATTTTAAATTTGCAATAGATCGTAAATCTTCTAATCTAGCTTTCCGCAGAAGTCTCTCATATCTAAATAAATAAATGAATAAAATAGTCATTTATGACTTAAAATTATCAATAAATATTTCTAAAATTTGATTAATTTACTTGTTCTTCTTTTGTACTTCCCAAGTTAAATTGTCAGAAGGTAAACTATTTCTATGTTGACTACCTCGACGTTTATCTAAATCTCCGTGCATTTTTGCAAATGCTGAACGACCAACAGATACAGAACTGTCAAGTTGGGCAGCCAAATCAACACTTTCCCCTAAATCTAATTACAATAATAATATAAAAAGATGTAGTTATAATATTAAAAAAATTTCAGATTAATAATTTTAATGCAGTTTCAAAAATTAAATAAAAAATGCCAAATTCATTAAATTATTATGGTCATTTGAATTTTTTCAAAATATTGAATTTTAAGATGTTTTATCCATACAATTTAATATTTATTATTCTGTTCCTGGTTCTAGTGATTAATATATATCATTTAGCTTATTTTTAATGAAAATCTTTTTCAAATAGTAACTTCAATTTTATCATGTTTTTTGATTTATCACTTCATCAATATACAGAATGTCATGTGAAATGTTACAAGCTAAAAACTCAAGAACAACTTGAACAATGCAAACTTTTTTCATTTTTTAAGGTTTCAAAAGAGGCTTCATAACAATGATTTAATTTGTCACTCCTTGTCCTCTTTCTTAAGAGGATAGGGAACAACTTTGAAATTTCAAATAAAATCCTACAGAAGGGTGTATTTTACATTTTACAAAAGAAAAATACAACAAATGTCTATCTAATGCACATTTTATGGTATGCATCTATTAAGAGATAAAACTGAATCAATTCAAATTGTTCAGTCCATTCTGATCATGTAATCAATTATAAAAAATGGACTACTAAATCTGAGAAGAGAAATTTAGTTTAAGCAAAACAGTATTCCATCATATTTTATTCCTACCTCTTGATTACTTTCTACATGGATACTATGGAGATAAATAAGCATGCAGTGTTTAGGTCACTGATTGAAAAAGCTATCAATGTATCTAGTAGTGCTAGATAAGGAATTATAAACCCCAGATAAGATAACACACAATTATGGGCTAACTAAATGGATGTTTTATTAGCCCATTAGGCATATTGTAAAGAAGGGAAATAAGGATAAGGCATAAAAAAGAGGAGTACAGAAATCATGACAGAATAAAAACACTATCATTTTGAGTCAAGAAACTCTTAATAAAGAAAGCAAGATGCAGTGGATGTAAGCAAGAATGTTAAGGAAATAAGGGAAACAAGAAATTTGGAGATTATGGAGAAAGCATGATTATATAAAAGAAGTTTGACAGGAAAATAATTAAATGGTAAAGACAAATGATACAAATTTATCAGGTTTTGTGATGTTTGTCTAAGGATAAGCTTGTTATTAAAACAAAGTCCAATAAAAGACATTATTATTTATTACATATTTTTAAAATATACATTAAAAGTATATTTATAGATTTTCTTGAGTGAGTGTAATAAATTAGCTGGAACTAAAGAACTAATTTTGGGAAATCAAATAATTAAGATTATTGTTATTTGACTTCCCAAAAGGTCTATAATATTAATGAAGATAAAATTTCAATTTTTTAATACATTGTTGAATAAAGACAAGCATAATCTACAATACTTAAAAACAACATGCTGTAATTCATTAAATATGGTTGCAACAAAAAGCATATAGTAATTATTAGATGAATTTTTTTTTATTTCCTTGAAAAATTAGTTCTCAATATAATAATCCAATGATCGCTTAAATATTCGGGCTATAATGTGGCTATAAACAAATAATTAATACAAACAAATTTGGTACTAGAGGTAAGCACTAGGCACCATCTGGCTTGGGGTCCGGGTGGTGCAATTGGTAGCATACCGCATGGCAAGCAGATGCTGCGGGTTCAAGCCCTGGGTCAGTTATTTTCTTTCAGAAGGTTCTAAATTATTTATTAAATTATTATAATTTTTACTTTAGATAAGAGATAGTGCCTAATGCTTACCTCTAGTACCAAATTTGTTTGTATTATTTGTTTACAGCCGTATTATAGCCCAAATATTTAGGTGATTATTGGATTATTAAATTAACTCATCAGGCTTTGAGATGTGTATTATATGTAATTAGTTCTCACCTGCATTGGTAGTTATTGGTTTATCCACAATTCGTATTTGACGCTCTGGAATGTAAGGTTCTCCATCCTTTCCACCAGTATCAACAGGTAAATAATAGAGACCATATTCTTCTTCCTGTTTATTTCTTGGATAATAGAGTGGCAACAGTAATTCATATATTCCTATATCAACATCTTCAACCGTAAATATAATAATGTCAATACTATCTTCATAATTTTCTAAAAACCTCCTCACAGTTCCTGTAATTATCAATAACAAACAATTTTAAATTATATAATTTACAGAGAAGTTATGTCGGTAACTAAAAAAACTATTGCTTAATAAGTGTTTCATATACACCTTTCATTGTTATTCAATTATGAGCAGAAAATAAATTTATAAATAAACTGAAGAAATAAATTTTTTTTTTTACTATATTAAGAATAAATATAGATAATGACTTATGACTGTAGAAATGATTTATTATTTACTATCTAATCTTTCTTTCCTCACAAATAAGAATTTGGCAAATTTCAAATTAATTTGGGCATACATATTATGGTCATTTGAATTTTTTCAAAATATTGAATTTTAAGATGTTTTATCCATACAATTTAATATTTATTATTCTGTTCCTGGTTCTAGTGATTAATATATATCATTTAGCTTATTTTTAATGAAAATCTTTTTCAAATAGTAACTTCAATTTTATCATGTTTTTTGATTTATCACTTCATCAATATACAGAATGTCATGTGAAATGTTACAAGCTAAAAACTCAAGAACAACTTGAACAATGCAAACTTTTTTCATTTTTTAAGGTTTCAAAAGAGGCTTCATAACAATGATTTAATTTGTCACTCCTTGTCNTTTTTATAGTGTCAGATGAGCAAATAAGATGAATTATTAAATATATTCAATTTAAACTTATGATTAAAATTTATTATTTCCATGTTTTCATAATTTATGTTTAGGTTAATGGATAATGTGGAATTAAGTATGGCAAAATTACACTATTGGAAATGATATACAAGTGGTGCAAAAGTAGGTATACAGTTGAGAATCTGACAAGTACAAACGTTTGGTGTTCATCATTATTATTTATATTTTCTTTTTTTAGTTCATATTCCTTATTTGTGATTTAATATAATTTGTACATAAAAATAAATGTATTTTCTTCCTATTTTCTCCCTCTGTTTTTTCCCATAACAACAACTGTAACTTTTACACCCCTCCTGTGTATATATATATATATATATATATATTAAAAAAATTCATTAGAACAGTAAATAGCAGCAAATAACTGACTACTTCAATATTAATTGAGGTACAGTACAGTACCATAAAATTTTGCTTTTTATTTTATAACATTTTTTCATTTATTGTATGTATCTTTCAAATAAAGTATTGTGTAGGCATGCATACTGTATTTTATTTTATTTGTCACTAGTTAAGAGGACAACTGCATACTGCATTCATTTGACAATTCAATATGGATTATCACAACTTTGGTGTATAAAGTGGTTAATATTTCATTTTTATATTCATACATAAAACAAATGCAAGCAATTTGTAAATTAAATTACATAACACCAACAGGTGAATGTTAAGACACCTTTCATTCCAACTGCTACAACTATTTTCTGTGTAATTTTAAGCTTACAAAACTTTTATAAAAACATTCATTTCCTTGATGTTGGTTACTTACCATGCATCACTTTAAAGCATTTGTTTACAAATTACTTCATAAATAAAAACATTCAGTTAGTCTTTATTCACTTCTAAAGAAGGGTTTTGGGAAGTTTATAATAGATATAACCTAAAAACATTTCATTACATTAAATTTGTATGCTACCATATTAACACTGCATGCTAGTATAACATAATATATTAGTACCATCAATAAAACAGACAATTAACAGCAAACTAAAAGTGTTTATTACTGATAAGGCAACTTTCCAGAAAGACTATCTGTATGATAATTACCAAACAAGATTAATTAATTACAATTACAAACATAGTTAATGATTAAATAATATAACTGCTAATGATGACGACTCTCTTTTATATTTTTTAATATAAAGTATAATATAAACATATAGTAGTATTAAAATAAAACTTATTAACTAATTTTTTTTCTAACAAGTTTTATCTTAAATATTTTTGTTTAGATGATGTAATTTCTTACTAGCATTAACAAATAATACAACAGCCTTTTTTAGTTATAATTATAAATGATACAATATTACATTCTGCCAATATGATTGAAGACTTCATAATTTTCAAACTTATCTGATTCAATACTTGCATCTATCCAACTCTACAAGTGTTGGTAATAAATGAAAGCCTAAAAGCTTATTAGTTCATAGAATATTCACTTTGTTAACTATTTAAATTCAAATATTCCAATTTTAGGAAAAAATTTAAATCACTTTTAATGAATTTATAATACTGTAGAAAAATCATTGTCAAATCTGGCAATAAAGTACCTGATTTGGCAAAATTACTTGCATATTGCCCATCACTTGCAAAAAATGCATCAAAATGCAATTTTTTTTTTAATACAACCAGGAAAAGCAGAAATACTATCAGCTTGCACTGTGATTAGTCAAAACATGTCACAATTGAAGTGCTTTGACTATGTTATCCATTGGATTTCTATACTCTTTTTAGACTCGTGTTGTTGCTCATGAATTTTTTTTATTAAGAATATGCTCTAAAGTTATCATTAGAGCATATTCTTAATAAAAAAATTCATTATGTTTACTTATAAATTTAAAACCATAAAAGTGGGTAGACATTTACTTGGTGAGAAATTATACAATTATGAAAAAAATTGAAAAATAATTATAAAAATCTGGTAAAAATAGTAAAAATTATGTCATTCTCAGTTATTTGTGAAACTAAATACACAGTATGTAAAAGTGCTAAAATATTTTGAATAGGATATGATTAAATCAGCTTTGTTTTGTCAATTTTACTGTACTTATAAAAATAAAATTGTATGAAAGTTCGCATTTACTAAGTGAAAACATAAATTTATTTTCGAAAGGGTACTAACATAGAGGCACCTCTAGTGACAAACACACAAAACTTAACTGGACGACTGAAAAAACTGCAGTAAACTTGTGATGAATGAAGATTATTAAAGATTATTTTGGCAGTTTGAAAGCTTGGATATGAACAAATATANAAAGATTTGCTGTTTTATAACCCAACTATGGTCATATATAAAAAAATTGTAAACAAATACAAAATTAATAATGGAAACAATATCTAAGTTACTACTAGAGTAGCCCTCTGGTACTGTACTGTACATCTGTATTTATAAAAAGATTTAATGTAAAAATATATCACTAAATGTTTAAATTTTTTTTAAATATCAGATTTCTTACAAACAAAAAAATGATGCATTTTAAAAAATATAATTGAAAATACTGTAAAATAATGATTATCATAAAGTCCAACAAAAAATAGGATATCCAACAAGATAAAATCTTAATCCAAATTCATTAATTAGCCTGCTTAATTTAAAAGTGTTCAATTGAAAAGAAAACTGAATTATTGTTTCAATTAGGCTATTCTACATTTAGTAAATTACATTTCTAACAGACAAATTTTCTAGTATATCATAATTTGAATATTGAAATAACAACAACTGGCGCATAAAAAATTTATATATTATAAACTAAGATACATGATCATACTTTGAATGATACTAGCCCCATCTGGTGAGAACAATATAAACTGTAAGTTATATTAAACTTATATTAACAATATAAACTGTTTAAGTAAACAGTTTATATTGTTAATATAAGTTTATAAAGTAACAGTTTATAAAGTAAGACCTCGCTTAACACTGCCTCAATTAACACTGATTTGATATAATGCGGTCTGCTCGAAGCCTAAAAAATTATGCTCAAAATTTACGCCTATTCAAATTATTGCAGAATTTCATTGATTTGTATATAATACGATTATTCATGAACATGAACCAATCAGCAAAAGGTGGTAATTCATCATAGCACTGTACTTTCTTTAAATCTAGGTTTGTTTTGTGCAATTTTGGAAAAAAATATAACATTATAGATGCCATAGGAAATATCGACTTCACTTGGCAAGAATTAACTGATAAATGTATGAACAAAGTTTGGAAGACAGTATCCAAGAATTCTCAACAAGAAGAGCCTATCACTATCATTAGGTTGACCAAATTGTCAACCTAATCAATACAGCAAGACTAGGAGATGTAGACAAGCAGGATATTGAGGAGTTACTGCAGGTTTCTGGTGAGAACCTTATCAATGACGACCTTCAAAAACTGGCAGAACAAGGAATCCAAGCAGAACTGGAAAATAGTGATTCTGAAAAAGAAGAACCCAAAATTTCTCTACAGATTTCCTTAGTAAAAGTTAATAAAAGTTTGATAATGATAACTGAAATCATTGATCAAATCGTAGTGAATGATCCAAATTTTGAAAAGAGTGCAAAAGCAAAATGAGGCATTTTGGATTGATCTTCGCTACCAACATTTGTTTAAGGAAAGAAAAAAGCGGCAAATGAAACTAGACGACTTTATCACAAAAAACAAGAATTTCAGAAAAGCTAGGACCTTTATCACAAAAAATAAACTTTAGATTTCTGTGTGCATATGTTCGTGTTATTTAACATATATTATTATACAAATTAATATAAAAATAACTTAAAATTATAGTAAAATTTGTTTATTTTTGGTCGCATGTTCCCCTTTCCCTATTTATTCTATGTTAAAATGACTTCGTTTAACACTGTTTTGCTTAGTGCTTTGTCACCTAGAAACACATCCCCATGTTAAGCAGAGGCTTACTGTATTATAGAAGATCAAAATATATTTAAAATATATTTTAATCGATATACAAGTTGGTTATAATAATTAAAGTTGCCCTACTCAGACCTGTATAGAGTCCGTTCTCTTTTTTGATGAAACTTGGTATATACGTTACATGGATCATGGGGAAAAGGAAAATGCAAAAAAATAATTAGTTCAAATTTCTACCACTAGATGAAAAACTGGCATATGAAGAACAAAAAACACAAAATGGAAACATGCAAAAGGTTTTCACTCAAGACATTTGTTCAATGTGCAATCCATTTGCATCAATCACATGTTCAAAGTGCCTTACAGCATGATCAGCAGTAGCACAATAGGTTTATTGAGAAATTGCAGCAATATGGTGAAGGAACTGTTAGATAATACAGTTTGAAATGCATCTAGTTAAGTATCTACATCTCTGATTTTAATAAAAGGACTGTTGACAAGATCAGAGTAATTTATTATTTTTTAAAACTTCTCTTTTGAAAGTTTTAAAAATTATATATATTTATTTATTTAGAATTTATTTAAGGTGTATATACCTTTTCTTAAATAAACTCTTTACACACATCAAAATATTACTGCTATTTAAAAAAAATATGTAGGCAATTCAAAAAGTTGAGTTCAGTAAGGTTCACAATGGAGGTGGACAGGCAGTGAGAGATGAGGCATGAAATATCCAGGAGTAACCAGCCAAGAAAAATTCCTGGTATTGCTTGCCTGGTTCCTATCCCAGGTCACCAGAGCAGTGGGTTATGCCCTTTAATGAGAGGGTTTACTGGTGGCTCCCTCTCCTCCCACAGTTAGTTTTTAAAAAATGTAACATTTACAAAATAATTTAATAGCTCATTTTCTAATTCATTTTTTTTATAAACTAGACAATATTTTCTTTTTCTGATTTGATTCTGTTGACTAACTTCAACAATCCAGGAGGAGACAGTAAGTGTAAATGAAGATATATGCCATGTTTGTCTTTATGCTAGAGAATTATAGATTAAATCTTGTCAAAATATTACAAAATTCTCACTCTATAGAGCCCATCATATGTACAGTACCATACCACGTATATTTGTATATTTATGGGACTACTCATCAAATGAGACACAGTCATCAGGCCATTTTTTTAAAAAGACTATTGTAAATAACAAAATATTGCCTCTTTGATAAGACCAATAATGCTCAGCTAAACATAGTTACATTTGGTTCTTAGTGGGGGGGAACAAACATTTGCAATTTATAATATAAATACTAAATATGCACAAGACTGTTCATAATTTCAAAAAATGTCATTTAGAATATGGATCTCACACAGAACATCATGATAACTTTAAATTTTCTGTGAAATTTCAAACCTAGATCAACATGAAAATAATTGCAATTAATTCATGACCTAAGTCATTATTTTCAAAAGATTTAGATATGACAAAAGCAAAAAGAGAAGGATTTTAAATGACAGAACTCCAAATAAAAAATAAAATATTGTAGAAAAACACATTGAAGCTTTTAACCATTATATACATTGGTCAAAACAATTAGGAGAGAAAGATGTTGCATAGAAAATCATTTATGACAAATAATTCTGAATGTCAAATGTTATTGTTACATATTACTGTCTATTATGTGAAAAAAAAAACAAGCATTTGAGTCAAAACTGTCATATTTTCATTTGTCAACAAGTGCAATATGCTGATCAATATGCACATCTGTACAACCAGAATAAATTATTTACAGGATGTATGAATTCTAAATAGCCAAAACTACTGTACATCTAACAAATAAGCACAATATTATACTTATAAATTAATGTAATAAAAGTCTTAAAAAATTAAACGCAATTAAATTTTTAAAATAAATTAAACATTAAAAGCAATTAAACCAAAGTGCAGAAACAAACACTATGATATTATGAGAATAGAAATGCCACAATTTAGAAAACAACTGAAAGAAGAATTGAATAAGGAGCTAAGCAACTTGAAAGTTAATAGTCATTCTGAAGTACAAACACTATGGAAAGATCTGAGGGACATCTTGATCAAAGTCTGTCACAAAAACCTAAAATCAACCTGTAAAGTCAAGAAGAAAAGATGGATGATGGAAGAGATACTAGACTTAATGGAAAAATGAAGAGTAACAAAAAATGATGCAGAAACTTACAAACGTATCAATGATGTTATAAAGGTAGAGATAAAAAAGGCCAAGGAGGAATGGATGAAGAGAAGCTACAATGAAATTGAAAACCTCCAAAAAGAACATAACATGTTCCAGATGCATAAGAAAATCAAAGAAATGACAGCTTCATTCAAGTGTCATCACTCTAATATACTAATGAATGCCAATAACAGTCCTATTATTGATGAAAATGAACTGAAACCACGTGAAAACATTATGTTGAGAAACTTTTTGATGAGGAAAGACCAATATCCATAAATAAAGACCCAATAGAAGGTCCTGAAATAATCGAAGAAGAAGTAAAGCACACCATTCATATCACAAAGAATAAGAAAACTCCCAGACCTGACAAAATCCCGACTAAAATTGTGAAATTGATCAAAGATGATAATATTAAACTAATTACTAGATTATTCAATCGGATCTACAATACAGGCACAATACCAAAAGACTGGTTAAAATCAACCTTTGTAACAATCCCTAAAACAAGTCATCCTAAAAGTTGTGACTACAGACTCATTAGTCTTATGTGCCATCTGCTGAAGATATTTCTACATATTATACATGCCAGGATATATAAAATTGTGAAATTGACCTTGAGGAGACTCAATTTGGATTCAGAAATGCTTTTGGAACAAGAGAAGCGTTGTTTAGTATCAACGTCCATTTCCAGAGATGCCGTGAACAACAAATACACATATTTGCTTGTTTCGTAGATTATGAAAAGGCTTTCAAGAGTGTAAAACACTCCAAATTAAGAGAGATTCATTAGATGGCAAGGATATCAGAATAATCCAAAATTTATACTGGGTCAAACAGCAGAAGTCAAGTTAGGAACAGTGAATACAGCAGAAATTGAAATACAGAGAGGAGTCCAGCAGGGCTGCATTCTTTTGCCCCTATTGTTTAATCTGTACTTGGACAAAATCTTCAAAAATGCCTTAGAAAACTCAAGTTATGGGATTAAAATCAATGGCGTAATTCTTAACGTCATTAGATATGCTGATGATACACTAATCGTATGTGACAGCCTAGAAGGTTTACAGATACTACTAAACAAAATTAACTCAACAGGAATTGATGCCGGTTTCAAAATAAATGCAAACAAAATTAAATTTATGATTTTTAGTCAGACCCCACACAGTGAGGCACAACTGGTTCTCGACCATAAAAAACAGTTTAAATACTTGGGAAGCATAATTACAGAAAATCTAGATTCAGAGAAAGAAATTAAATGTAGAATAGCAGCAACTAGAACATCCTTCCAAAAAAATGCAAACCCTGCTCTGCAATGACAATTTAAATCCGAAATTGCGGCAACACATGGCCGGATGTTATATTTGGTCAGTTCTCCTCTATGGTGTGGAAAGCTGGACATTAAAAAGGAATACAGAAAGAAGACTGGAAACATTTGAGATGTGGATTCACAGAAGGATGCTGAGAGTCCCATGGACAGATTGAGTAACCAACAACGAAGTTCTAAGCAGAGCAAGAACAAAAAGGAAATTGCTGTCAACAATCAAATGCAGAAAGATTGCATACTTGGAACATATCACTAGAGGAAAAATACAAAATCCCACAACTAATCCTCAATGGAAAGATTGAGGGAAACCATAAACGGGGCCAAAGACATTTATCATGGATGGACAATATCAAAAAATGGACAGGATACAAAGCATTGGGGAAGTAATGAGAACAGCCGAAGATAGGAACTCCCTCTCCTTGATTGCCGATGTCTGGGGGATCGGGCATGGCACATGAAGAAGAATGAATAAAAGTCTTATACACGAGGGGAGTCTGATATTAAAGGGGATGTTCAAACTAGTATCATGCTGGGATAAATAAATGTTTACAGTAATTTTGTCAAGAAAAAAACAAAAGTATATAGTTTTTGTGGAATGTATTCAATATTTTCTTTAATTGTAAATGTTAGTGTAATTTTGACCAGTACCTTTAATATTGGACTCCCGTCATATAATATTTGTATATCTGCATTAAAATAAAATTCAAACATATTGTTAGAAATAAACAACTTATAAAATCAGAATAAGTGAATACTAAAAATGTATTTAAAATGCTAATTATAATCTCTCAAAAGTTTTTTATTGAGTCCTTTAGAAGAGGAAAAAAAAGGAATATAATTAAATATTTTTGATTTTCATTATAATTTGGTTTTTATATCACTATTAATGTTTAACAAATACTGAAAATTTATTAAACAGCAAAATACACTTACTTAGAGCTATATGTGCACCTTCATGTGGAGGATATCCTCTTCTCACAGAATTAATTGCACACAGCGCTAAAGATTTAAGCTGATGTTCTCTATATAAATAAATATATTTTAATTACATGAATATCATATTATAAACATTTATAGGTAAAACAAAAACAAAATTTAATAAAAGCACAGAAATAAACTTACATATTTTAGAAAAGTAACTAGTAAAAAATTTACTAATGTACACTTAAGACATAATGTAATAAAAAATAAATTTTTAAATTAGTAAAATATTTAAAATATGTTGAATATTTAACATACATTATAGAAATGTTTCTCTTGAAGTAATTGGTAGCATGTATATATATTATTAAGACAATAAATTTATTTTCAAAATAAAATTCAGCAATAACCAATGTATTTGTTTATATTATTTCATTTATTTCCAGTTTTAAGTGTATTGTTAAGCGATAACAATTATTGTACAAAAAGAAAGAGGCTAAACATCAATGATGATAATTTAAGCTTATTTCTAATAAAAACTTAAGTATTAAATATAAGTGAAAAGAATATTTTATGTTTCATCATTTCACATGAAACAAGAAGTGTGCATATGAAGAGTGCATATTACTAAATTTTAACTAAAATTTTAACTAAATATTAAAAATTTTAACTAAATTTTTTTAAATATTTACTAAATACATATCTATTAACATTTTAAAAGTAGCTTTCCTCAAATTTAATTAAATACTGTACGTTAGTGACAATCATATTTCATCCACAAAAAAAATCCTGATTATCCAATAGGGCCCACCATGGCCAAGCAGTTCTGTTCCCTGAACACTGGGAGTTTGGTCATGGGTTCATGCCTTGCTAGGATGGGCTGGCCATGTAGTTTTCCGAGTTTTCTCCACGTCTGTAATGCCTGAATAGGGCCCAGTTACCGTTAAAAAAGACCACCTGGAAGGCATTACTCCTAGGCAGATCACTCAAGTGTTGCATTGCCATAACTTAATAAAATCAATTATCTAACAATCTTTTTACTATTGAAACCATTTACATCTCTAAATTATAATTATTCTTTTATGATATTAAATTTTAGAAATTTTATATATTCAGTTATATTTGTTATAGTAAAAGGAATCTTTTTTAATTCAAACATGAATAAGACATATACACCAATCAATGTATATATAAAATTGCTAAAATTTTAATATCATAAAATAATAATTATTATAATTTAGAAATGTAAATAATTTCAATAGTAAAATAGTAAAACTAACGAAGAAAATCAAAAACTTAGTTACATCATGTACAGAAGACAACAGTCATTAGCATTGTCAACATAAGATGATTAAGTTTAAGCTGAATCATAGATTTTGATATGAATTAAATTTGCTAATTTCTTAAAATATTTACAAAATATTAATACAGAAAGTTAGAGTTTAATCAATGTAAAGCCAAAGTTAAATGTTTATCAAATCAATATTGAAGTTTCAATTAATTTATATTATTATCCAAATTACTATTATTGTTTCAAAGTCTAAATCTGAAATATGTCATGTCAATTAATACCATGCCCATTACAATCAATGAACTGATATGTTCAATGTAATAAATAAACAAACTTTACTAAATGCCGATTTTAAGTAAATGTTTAGTTTTAAAACCATTTTCAGAAAACATTTGTGTGTAGCATTCAGTTTTAATATTAAAACTTGAAAAATCAAAAATATAGTATTGCAAAATTCAAACTGCAGCTGTACTAATTTTCTACCCAACAAATGTTCAAAATTTCTTTAACTTTTTCAGCTGAATTACTTAATGCACCTTTTAACAGTGGAATTTTTAAAAAAGAGTGTTAATACTTCCGACCCATTTAACAGGCCAACTTCAGTACTGTACTGCAATGCTGATAAACAATATAGCAAACCAAAATTTCAATATCAATATTGTAAAATCTAGAATGTTTCAGTACTTGATATCAAGCCCAATACTGATATTTAAATTTTAGCTTAGTACAGTCCTAATCCTCAGGAGATGTAGACAGTCCAGAAAATAAGGGCTAGCATCAGAAGAAAGAACAAATAGACAGTCTCCAATCTGAGGCTGTCCCTTCATTCTTCCTTCCAACACTAGTCTTTTGACTATACATGCTTGAGGATGGCCCATTAACCAAATTGAAAACATTACTGCTTTTTTACAAAACTCACTGTTAAATCAAAAAACACAACACCTTAATTTGCTGAGAAAAACTTTAATGAAAAGCTAACGTTTTCAGCCAAATCTATTGGCCATCATCAGGCTAAGTTTTTCGAACACAAACAAATTTTGTGTTTTTTGATTTACATACAAGTGCTGGGTGAGTTAAACACTCACTGTTAAAAATGCATTAAGTAGTAACAAAAAATCTGGTTTTCTGAATAAGATCTCCTCTATTTGCTAAAATGGAAACAGCACTATATAATAAGTCCTATTAATATACAAAGTCCAATGTAGACAATGATATAATAATTTATTATGGTTTATATTTTATATGATAATACAGTAGAGCATTGATTATCCAAATCAATTGGTGACTTGGGTTGTTCAGAAAATTGATTTTTCAGATAATTGATTACGTACAAAAAAATATATTAACCTATCCCATGTTGAAATTCATTCAAATCCTAGCACGAACTTAAGTATCCTCTCATGGTTGTGTCAGTGCTGCCAGCTAAAACATGTACACCAACAAAAATAATATTGAAGTAGTCCATAGCCAAAGATTGCAGCACAACATCCCTAGCAGAAATTTAAATTTGCTGACTGGAAAGCTTTTGGTTAATTGACATTTTGGTTGATTGACATTCAGATAATCAATGCTCTACTGTATTCATATTTAATGGCATCTATAGCAAATAATTTTATCATGTCTTTTGTAAAACAATGCATGCACAATGTAACAGTGAAATGATATATACTTTTAAAATAAAATGCTAAAAATTAAAAAAAAAATTTTTATCACCACAAATTCTGTAAATATAAAACAAATTTTAAAATGTCCATAATTTCCCATTTCCTAACTTAAATACTTTCATAATTAATATATAAATGTATTAAAATCAACACAGAAAAAAATCTAATATTCAAAAATAAGCTTTCCATTTTATTTGTAAAAAGTCCACACTATATCCTATAAAAGCTGGTTATGAGCAACATCAACATAATGACATCAATAAATGATGTCATTATGAAATAAATTAGAAAGCTTTTCTAGCTTTTTAATGCTTTCTGTATGATTGAAATGGATATTGATAACTATTTTTGAACACACATCATTTGAATCATCATCTACTGATATTATATATTAATCATCATAAAAATGAAAAAAGCATTAACAATATCAAAAATGCTTTTTGTTTATTTTTATGAACAATTATTATTCATGAATATTTATTATTATTTTAACTTTTATACGTCATTAGTTATTGACATATAAAATTGCACATGGATTTTAGGATCACTTTTGTATTAAGGAACAGAATACATTTATAAATCAGTTATGGAATGACCTATGCTATTATAATGTTTCAATAATCAAATATTAATAAATATCAACATTTCAAAGTAAAAAAAAAATAAATTNTTGACATATAAAATTGCACATGGATTTTAGGATCACTTTTGTATTAAGGAACAGAATACATTTATAAATCAGTTATGGAATGACCTATGCTATTATAATGTTTCAATAATCAAATATTAATAAATATCAACATTTCAAAGTAAAAAAAAAATAAATTTATTATGTTTACCAACCTTGCTATTTGCAACACTTTAAAATAACAGGAGAACAAAGCACTTTCAGCAGCTGTTTGATATTTTACATTATATTTAGGACCAACTGTGTGAATTACATATCTTGCAGGTAAGTTATATCCTTTTGTCAATTTTGCTTCACCAGTCCTGCATACTAAAAGTAAATTATACATGTTAATGAATCATTTATATAATTTTTATATTTTAATATAAAAATTATATAATTTAAATATAAAAGCANATAAATTAATCATTAAAATTCTAAAGATTTTAATAGTTCATAAGTGATTTATTACATAAATATACATTTTCCTATTAATATTGATATATTTTTTTAATATCTAAAAAATAATTAATTAAAAGTTAGAAGATAATATATTGACACAAATTTATTGGCATGAATAAGAACATGTTAAGTGTAATTAATGTGGTGTACCACATTAATATAAACATTAGTAGCAATACAATACAGAATAAACATTATGTTAATTTATAACCAATTAACAAGTAAATCTATAATGGTGATATATTAATATATAGTAACATACAATGTTAGTTTATAATAATAATATCTAATAATATGTAAGTTAATACAAGGAACAACAATCACACAATCCGATTTAACATAGTAAAGTCAACTTAAATAATTTGGTAAAAATAAATAAGTTATTTTAATTGTATAACAGTATTCTGTTTATATTATATTGAGTTTTTAAGGTTATAAACCTATAAGTAAAACATTTTAAGATTATAATAAATAGAGTTAAAAATAAATGAAACAAAAATTTTGACTTTCCCAAAGTATTTTTCTGGGATAAAAGAAATCCAGGAAAGTAAAACTATTCAAATTCTTTTATTTGATCAGAAACTTTAGTTTGATAAATTTTTAAAAATTACTTATTTAAAATATTAGTTTATTACAAAATGTAATTTTGCAAACAAGTTTCTCACTTATCATTTAATTTAAAAACCTAAAAATCTCAACACCATCCTTGCATTTCCAGCAAACACATTTATTAAAAACACAAGCATTTTTATCTATGTCATAAGCCTATATCAGGTTTCCAATCTAGCTTCAATTTGATAATGTTCAAAATTGGTATTTTGCTCGATAATTGATGCTATTTAATTTTTTAAGATATAGAATGTCCTATATTTCTCATTTGTTCATAATTAAAAATGTAATTTAAAAAGTAGAGCATAGTATATACAGTGGGTGATCGGTTAACGAACATAATCCGTTCCAAGACTTTGTTCGCTATCCGAATTGTTCGTTAACCGATTATAGATTTACCATAGGTTTCTATGGGAATTTGATTAATTGGTTCTGGAGACCCCCCAAAATAAAAAAAATATATACTTTCTTACTACCTTTATTTATATGTATTGATGATAATAAAAATACATACATACATAGTCTTGCGTTTTTATTAGCCGTGTTTTTTTTCTGTTTGAAAGGGTTAAAGAATCTGTCTAATGTCGATTGCTTTTCTCTCTTCTTCAGGATTTTTCGTAAGTAATTAATAGCATTGCAATTGCAGAAATCCCCAAGCCTTAACCTGGTTTGGATGCCNCACTAATGAGAAGTTTATATTTATCATTGTATAACTACAGTGCTGTATCTTATGTACTATTATTATAAAGCTCATTGTAAACTATTTAAATGTATTTACATCCAATTTACTTTAAAAAAACTTAAAATTACACACTGTTTTCTTACTTTAAATTTAAATATTCTGCCTGCCTGCCAGATGGCTGTATGGTAAAGTCCGAGCAATCCAAACAAACCCTTCTGAGTTTAAATGGTGTAGTATAGACTAAACTAGACCATCGTTCTCTATCCATCAATACTGCTGGATGATCTCTTTGCCGATCAGAGCTGCTCATTTGGTGTAATGTATAAACGAGGCAGTTCTAGTAGGTATGCAGTTCGTGCATACTTGCATACAAGTGGCTGGATCTCCAGACTTACCATTAGTGTACTTTAATGAATAAAATGAATATTTTAATACAGTGGTTGTCAACGAAATAGATTGATATTTGCATAACAATGGACAATATAGCCACACAGTTTATGGTTATAAATAAAGCCAAAGTGTACACATTGGGTGTTTCACATGGGTGGCAGTGGGTTTGTTTGTCAAACTGGAGGATTTAACAATGAGACTCCCACAAACCCTACGATTGTGTCTTCAGGCCTTTAGTCCCATACTACGACAAAACACTTGTAAAGTTTGACAGTATGTGTATATATATATATAAAATTATGATAAAATATAATATTAAATGATTATACAACAAAGATATATGAAGTGTGCAATGCCATAATGTTGTAAATGCCATTTTTTTTAAATACATTTTATTGAAGAATTGAATTCTAAATGCAATGTTTTCCGCTGCAAAAAAAATATTGTGGTGATATTGGCATGTAAGTGGCTGTATTTTGAAGATAAATTTATTTGAAGATATAATGTTTAAAGTGCCAGAATTCAAGTCACATGACTTTTGGTGCTTAAAATGTTACGGCTTATATTTATATCATTGTGATATCCCAGAGAATTTGAACCTAGTGAGTTTTTTATGATTTTATTGTAAAATTGAAATGAATTCATTCATTAGAAAAAGTGTTTTTTACCTCTCCTGAAAAGTTTATTTTTTGGCATATACAACATTATGGCATTGTACACTTCATATATTTCTACACATTATGGTTGAGTTGCATCTTGTCATGAAACATTCTTCTGTGAATTATCATATAAAGATTGCTGTGTGGAAGACTCTCTGCTTTCACTAAAACTCAAATCAGGAATGCAGATCCATACCATTGTCAACAAAGTCAGATCACCTACTCTATTACTGGAGAAAAAAGTACGTGAAATGCTAGTCAAACATCTGAAAGAGTATAAATACTCAGCATAGAAACCACAGAAATTATTTTTCAATCTAAAAGAGATCAGATTAGTAAGCAAAGAACACATCATTGTGCTTGATTTCATTTCACTATTATTTATTTCCATATGTTTACAACTTTTCTTTTGCATACTCCAAGATTTTTATTTTAATAGAATAGAGACTAGAGACTGCTCATTCATACTATCAATAAATCTTGAAATTGGCTCATATTTTGTGCTATATTTTTTTTCTTTGTTTATAACAACAACACATACATCCAAAAATGGGGAGCTATAGGCAGTCCCTTTTCAAGATTTATTTGAGTTGTTAGTACAGGCACCCAGAAACCATCATAACAAATTCTCCGCGATATCATCATTTAGACCCACTATGCGGACAATATTTTATAAAGGACTAAACCTAATACATATAAATTTCTGGCAGAATTTAATAACCCTTATGGCTTAACATTACACCTGGATCAATAGATCATCAATATCAAAGCTCATTTTTAGAAAAATATAGTTTTCCAAAATGGGTCCATTTACATAAAAGTTTACTACAGACCAACCAACCCTCATTCTTTATTCCTTTGCAATCTACTGATCCATATGCATATAAAATAGCTGCTTGCTTTCACAGCATTAGTCAAAAGGGCATACACACATTGTACAGATAAGAAAGACACCATAAAAGAAATTAAATACATAAAAAAAAAAAAAGAAAAAAGAAAGGTGGAAAAGAAGCCATGTGATTGGTTAAAAACATGATCTCATGTTCAACACTTCTAAAGAAAATCTAGTACAACATGGTTTCACAACAAATGAACAAAAAAAAAAAATAGTATACATGGGTACAACAAAAAAATTATAAAAGAAACCTAGTAAAAAAAATTCAAGCAGAACAACATAAGTCACAGTGAAGATCAGACTTTACAATCTCACCTCCCAACACCTAAGTCTAGAATAGCCAAGTACAATTGCAGACTAAATTCAATTTACAAACAAATAATCAAATATTCAAATACCCACATATGCTATCAGAGAAATACTACCATTTACAAATTATTAAGAATGGCAAAGATAAAGTAAACAGCAAAACAGTACCCAAAATATGCTCCAATCTTGTGACAGATGAAAGATTTAACCAACAATTAGTGTATATTAGTTCTACAAATAGATCTTTAACAAGCAGACAGGTGGAACATAAACAATATTGATAGCAGTAATCCAGTAACTACTTTAGAACAATATGTGAGAAAATATTTCTACATGTTAGGTTGACTTGCAGATACCGCAGGTATCTGCAAGTCAACCTAACATGTAGAAATATTTTCTCACATATTGTTCTAAAGTAGTTACTGGATTACTGCTATCAATATTGTTTATGTTCCACCTGTCTGCTTGTTAAAGATCTATTTGTAGAACTAATATACACTAATTGTTGGTTAAATCTTTCATCTGTCACAAGATTGGAGCATATTTTGGGTACTGTTTTGCTGTTTACTTTATCTTTGCCATTCTTAATAATTTGTAAATGGTAGTATTTCTCTGATAGCATATGTGGGTATTTGAATATTTGATTATTTGTTTGTAAATTGAATTTAGTCTGCAATTGTACTTGGCTATTCTAGACTTAGGTGTTGGGAGGTGAGATTGTAAAGTCTGATCTTCACTGTGACTTATGTTGTTCTGCTTGAATTTTTTTTACTAGGTTTCTTTTATAATTTTTTTGTTGTACCCATGTATACTATTTTTTTTTTTTTTTCATTTGTTGTGAAACCATGTTGTACTAGATTTTCTTTAGAAGTGTTGAACATGAGATCATGTTTTTAACCAATCACATGGCTTCTTTTCCACCTTTCTTTTTTTTTTTTTTTTTTTTATGTATTTAATTTCTTTTATGGTGTCTTTCTTATCTGTACAATGTGTGTATGCCCTTTTGACTAATGCTGTGAAAGCAAGCAGCTATTTTATATGCATATGGATCAGTAGATTGCAAAGGAATAAAGAATGAGGGTTGGTTGGTCTGTAGTAAACTTTTATGTAAATGGACCCATTTTGGAAAACTATATTTTTCTAAAAATGAGCTTTGATATTGATGATCTATTGATCCAGGTGTAATGTTAAGCCATAAGGGTTATTAAATTCTGCCAGAAATTTATATGTATTAGGTTTAGTCCTTTATAAAATATTGTCCGCATAGTGGGTCTAAATGATGATATCGCGGAGAATTTGTTATGATGGTTTCTGGGTGCCTGTA